CTGTAACTCTGAGTATAGTTAGCAAAGCAGAAATTTCTAAAACTTAAAGATTGGGTTTACTTCATCTAAGCCAGACTTTGTTCTGTGTTTCCAAACAAAAACCAGCATTCTAAACTGTTTCTAAACCAAACCTCCCAAAGCCTGGCTTAAGATGCCAGTGGAGGCATGATAGTTACCTATCTAGGCTGTATTGTTCTTGCTTTCTTCAGGGACTGCACTGAGTGACATATGCGATAGCTACAAAGAAAATATTACAAGCAAAGCAAAACAAAGGTATATAAGTCTGCTTCCTCGATGACCCATGCATAGGAGAAAGACTAGAGAAGTAGTATGTAGGCAGAGGAAAAACCACGGCTGGCTACTACTTCTTGCACTTTCCGTCAGAGACACAAGTTAAATCTTTCCATCTGAGCAGGAAGCCCCTACTCCTCTAACCATATCCTTCCTACCCTTACAACCATGGAGTTGTCCCTGTAGATGAATGCAATTCCTATGTTGCTCCCTCTTGGGAACATCTTTTTAAATAAAATGCTTTCCCTTGTTTTGCTTCACACAGAGAATCTAATCTTTAACATGCAGAAAACTGTCAGATTTCAAAGAAATGCTCCCCCTCACCTTCACAGTTTTAAGAAGTCTGAAATTAGCATATTTTAAAGCTTTTCAATTTGGTTTTTGTTTGCTTTACTTATTCTACTTTCATCTTTACAATTTGTTGAAACATCAGATACTCTATTGTACAATTTGTTACATGCTCTTCAAGAAGAAGGGAAAAATACAGGAGGTAAAAAAGAAGTCACAATATGGACTCATACTCTAATCCTACTAGGCATATCCCTAGTATGATAAATTAACACGCCTGGTAGAAATACAACTTTGTAAGCAGGCAGGACTTGTTTAGCTAAATAAATAAATAAATATTTTGCTAGTTTATCTTGCTTCTGTGCATCACGCTCGTTACTTGTCTATTCAGTTCCTGTAAACAAGTGACCAACAGGCAATATTTCCATGAAACATTGAAGGAAGGCATTGAGATTTCTCTCAAGTTAATAGCAGCTGCCATTAAGCTGCCATGTAAGTGAAAGTGCAACAAATGAAACCCAGTTCTGGAACTATTGCTCCTTCAGTAAACATTGATTAAAACACCTTGATAATAAGTTCTCCATCTGAAAGCGCAGACAGGTTGGAGCACTACACCCTGAGTCATTCTTTATATTCTGTTCTCCCTATTTCTGTCCTTCATATTCAGAAAGTTAGAGACAAACCTCAACCACCTTTAAATTCATATTTCAGAAGTCCAACACAATGTGTGTGATCTTGTTTTATACTCAGATAAAAGATAGGCCTAGAATGAGAATTACAGTTACTTTGGATCAGATTCCAGACAGACTTTCAAACCTTAATCATAAGTTTTGTTCTAATAAGACAGAAATTTAGCAGCTGCCTAAGTCTAAGAGGTACCAAAGCTCTTTATACACTTCTTTGGTTTTATTACTTAAATCTGAAGTTTCCCTAGCTGTTTGCAGATCTGCTTCTCATCATTGTTAACCCAGACCCAAAACCAAACCAGAGAGACATGGCTTGCAGGCATCACTGACCTCAACAAGCTCCAGCACTCAATGCTGCAGCTCATTCAAGCACATGTGATTCAGGCTCCCCTGGTTTTACAACACTGCTCAAAGACAGTCACATGGATTCTCAAAAAATGCTAGGAGTAGGTCTGAGCGCCTATCTGTCCTGCTCCTGCCTGTGGCCTGCTGCTCTACATTGGCTGTTAAGAAGAGCCTTAAGTTTTGAAATTCCAGCTGCTCAGTGGAACACTTCTAACAAAAGTCATGGAAAAATGCTACGCAGACTAGTTCCCTAAATCTCAGTTCAGAAGTGTCGCTGGCAAAACACGAGTTTCAGGCTGAGGAAAGTAGACTCTATTCCCTAGATGTTGCTAAGTGATGTTATAATCACTTATTTCTGCAGAAATGCTGAAAACGTGAGGGAGAGTAGTGATGCTTGTTTAAAGAACAGCTGAACGAACCTTCTTTTCATAGAATGCTCTCGGGTTTGGAATCCCAAACATATATAGGTGCCCTCCTGGCTTAAATTTCCAAGAGAGCTCAGACTGCAGACAACAGTGTACACTGCTTCCCGTTAGCTAGCACAATTATACTGTCAAGGTCCTAAAAATGACCCACTAACACCTTCTCCTCCAAAGAAATAGCCCACTACAGGTAGCACTGTAGTAGTTCACCAGCAGTTCAGGCATGGCATAAGCAATTCACAACTCTTTAAGATATCTTCAGTATAACAATCAACTGCATAATTGGATCAACAAACAGATCCATAAAATCTGTTTCAAATCTGTTCTTTAAAGTTAAAAGGGTGCTAAGCTAACTCCAGCTGTTACTCCATACACATACACAGGTCCACTCCATTAACAGAGAACAGCCCCAAAATAACACTAAATTGCAACTGATTTAATTATAGAAGTAGTATGCTAAACCAGCACAGAGATAAGCTTTGCTTGTCAATCAGTTATAGTGGGTATATAAACTAGAAAAAAAGAGTATTAATATAAGTATTAATACAACAGAAGCACCACATTATTAAATGTGAGCTATTTAATCTACGTATTTAATCTTGTATGTGTATGGCATATTAAAAAGTTGATCAAAAAAGAGATCAAATTTATTACTTGGAGGGTGCGTGTGTGTAATAATTCAACCTTGAAGAAATGTTATAGTAAAGATTGTTGCTCTGACCAATGCTACTTCCTATAAAACTGGTGTATTATGAAACCCCAGCAGCACAGTGTTGTCTAATATAGGAAGTTGTTCTTTATTTCTCCCACAAGTTAAAAGGCCAGCTTCAAGCTGGAAAAGCCAGCTTTCAACTCATCTTTATTTCATCTGTATCTCTGTAGTAGTATTCACATCTTGCTTGAATTTTCGAAGAAGTATGAATTAGATTTGAAGGCCCCGTGAAATGGTTCAGTGATTTGAAATGAAACTTTCTTACTCTATTAATCTCACTCTGAAAACAAGTATATCTACACAACTCCAGGTTAACCAAGAAGATTTCAAATTAGTTGAGAAACCTCACAGATGCTAAGCATTTCTGGACAGAAGTGCAAAATCAAATCAAGAGCTTAAAAGGAAAAACATGGATTCTGGGTCAAGATGCTTGTTTCTTTCCCCATCCCTCCATAACCAAGATCGTAAATTGCAGTCTAAGATATACCTGCTCAGCAGCTGACTAGAACTATAGGTCCCTAAGCTTGTAGGTTTCTCCTCGTCTGACCTGGAAGTTCCCACAGTTCACACCTTTCACCAGAAAGCTGGACAGGTACTACACACGGGAACAAAATAGGGAAGTGTATATAAGCCCTTAGAGAGCTCAGTCCAAGAAATATGTTCAGCATATCAACATGTTCAAGATCCCCATAAAATCTACCAATGGGGAATGGACTACAAGAATAACTGAGTGGTTACGGTTCAGGAAGATCTACACAAAAGTGAGGAATGGAATCCAGCTGTGTACTGTCCTAAAAAAGTGCTTGGCTGGAGTGTCTGAAGGCAAAGCACCGGTTTCTGAAGGCATGCAGCAGTGGAGCCAACAGAGATTTGGGCTTGGATCTTGGAATGGCAGAAGCACTTGTCTATTGCTCAGACTTCTCAATTTCAAATAGGAAAGGAGAGCAGGACTACAGGCAACCCCTGTGGCATGTCTCCTCCCTAGGCTTGGGCAGTTTGCTTTTAGTACTCCTTGTTTGTCAAAAGGGGAGGGAGACACAGAAGCAAGAGAGGAGATGGAAAAGGCAGGATGAGACTAAGGACTACCTGGTTATTATGTTCAGCAACTCTCTTCACAATGCTCCAGTTTCAACCCCTGCTTTCATTTTATGTTTTCACCTGATAACTGAGATTTCTTTTTTACATCTTGGAGTCTCATCTCTCTCAATCTGTCTGTCACAGGTTGGCAGGTGTCTGGAACACTGAGTGAATTGACTGAGCAGATTCTAAGAAATACAGCAGAAGGGCTTTTACAGAGCCAGTTTGTCAATTTTAGGTTGAGGAAATACAACCCTCATGTACAGAAGCATTTCAATAAAGCAAAATTGAAATTCCTGTCTGTTACAATTGAAATTCTTTCTGGAAGAAAATATAAAATGTAGCTGGAAAAATAGGCAAACCCCAAGTATGCCATTCAGCTGTGCTACAAATACTACCTCCTAGAACTTGTCTTGCAAAACAAAATCTAAGTTTTTATTAAAGCTTACTTAATTGATCATAATTAATTTAAAGTTGTAATAATAAAATACCCATTTCTGCATGCACACCACATCCTGCACAACATTGAAAATATGCATGTCAGAACCTAGCCATATGCTGTTCATGGCTAGCTCCCTTCTGATGAACAATATACTTTGTGTGATTTGAGAAATAAAGTTGTATTTTCTTTACACACACATGAAAAACATAATGGAAAATGGAAGGAAAGGAAAAAGGACTGAAAACCCCAGCAGCCTAACTTAACTTGAACACCCCAGTTAGGTATCATAAGTCTAAGTTCAGGTATTGAAACTTGCACAATCTTATTTACATATCTAATATGTACTTCAAGGGTAAGCTGCAAGGCCATAGCTTCTGTCCCTGCTAAACAAATCGAGCTCAAGTAAATATTTAATGCAGTCCTTGCTCAGCAAACCTCTCAACAATCTTAAGGTTCCACACAAATGGCCAGAACAAAATTGGCTTTTTACCAGCAGCCATCTTACTAATTATTTATTCATTTGGTGAATATAGAGTGATCTTATACTTCACCAAGACAGATCACACTTAACCATACAGACGAAAGACTGGATCTGCTGCGTGGGGTGCCTCAAACTAACCAAACGAGCAAGTGAAGTCAGAGAGTGAATTCCCATGAATGAATCTGAGAAAATAACCTTGAATGGGGCACACCACCATTATTAACTTTCATATAAAACATTCATAAATGCAACTTACAGCATTGCGTGATCTTCTGGATGTTAGAAGTTATACGTTGGGCTAGCTGATTAGGATCCCCAAAACCCGCACTGTACGACATGGCTGAGTAGATTCGCTGTCAAGATCATTCACAGCAGGAACAAGTCAGACAGTCTCCACTTATTAAGGACACCTAAACCCCCCCAAGAAAACAGAGTTATATCTTGGCCATTGGTTTACAAATGTCTTCATTATCATAAGGAAGAATGCGTAGGAAAAGATTACAGAAAACTCCATATACTAATGTTCACCCTCTCCAAAAACACAATACTTCAAAGTTGGAATTTAAGGGAAAGCCTTCTTAAAGTATTAAATAAGAATATGATGTCCTTTTGAATTTCCTATCATAACTCTTACTATTAAGATTCTTAGTAATACACATGGCTTAAGATCTGCAGTTACTCTACAGCAGCTAGATCGCTGAAATGACACCCTTTGTCAAACTTCTTGCATATTTCTTCCACTAAAAGCAAAGCAAAAGTACTTATTTTCATCTGCAGTCATTCCAGAAAAAGATGAATGTTTAATCTGTCAATGCCAAATCCTCTGATGAATTATGTCCCAAACCAATTATATGGTTATTTCCATACCATGTATCACTTATCCCACCAATACAACCTAGCATATATAAACTGCTGGGGAAAAAAACCCAACAAACAACCAACAAAAAACAGCAAATCAGAAGATATCACACAAGGTGTCAGAATGAAGGAGACACCCAATTCCCTCTAAGCACCAATAATTTGTATCAACTTCGGTTTTAGTTTAATCCAGTTGCATCTGAATTCTATGAATTGCCACTTTATGCTATTTCAGCTGCCATGTTTCTCAATATGAACTGATTTTTCAACAACCTGGGTATACAAATGCATTTTAGGGGTGTTTTTTGCACCCAGAACTATCATACCTTATCCAAAAAGGTCAAAATCTGACCACACAAATACTCACCAATACACTTACCCTAAAAGCACACATATAAAATCAAGCAGCACATAACTACTAAAGATGTCTTAGCCTGCCTTCCATTCATAGAGGTCAAATTTCAGCACAAGCTCAAAGATACCGTAAACCCAAATTAACAAAACAGCTTAGGATGCACTTGCAAATCAAATGGAGCAATTTATCTGTGCTGCAGTGAGAATGCAGACTAATCACGCATATGCGCATGCAACAGAATCCCAAAATTTTATCCAGGCTATGCTTAGTCTTAAATTTATCCTTTCCACTCCCCTGCACATTACCTTTGCGGGTTTAACATTTTAACTTCACCAGTACCCCACACTTCCGCTGCAACCAAAACCACCTGCCTTTCAAGCAACATCCTCTTCTCCTGGCCTGTCAGCTTCTGATTAACAGACACCGCTATAACTCCAATTACAGGGAGAAAGAATGAAAGCACATCTAAATGTTTAAACGGAAAAGAAGGAAATGAAAAGGCCAACTGATTTGTCAAGTGTGATACCAGCTGTGCTACAGTTTGCAAACTCAAGTCCTTACGATTTAAAGAAAAAAAAAAACAACCCCAAAACACGCTACAATTAACAGTCCTTCTTGCCAAATATTATCTTCTTTCAGCTTTGGAAATGCCTGCATTAATACAGTACAGCAACATCTTGGTTGTTTAAAACACAACTGTTTTCATCTCTCCATGATATGAAATGATCTCCAGTGGAGCTGCCAAGACACTGTTCTGGCCAGATACATCCCACCAGAACTTCACGAGGGGTGTCACTGCAGAAGTCAGGCTCATCCCTGTTGCCCTGCAGCTTCCATTACCTGTGCTGGATGAACAAGCTGCTGCTGCCATGAAGACAAACCCTGAAAAATTTTGACATGGTTGCTCCCAAACCCTGCATAGAGTCTTCAGGTGCTGAAGTGTCCCCTAAAAATGAAAAACCTGACTGCAGATGCGTGTATAAATATACATATATAAATACAGGGAGTGTATTTGCATTCTTCCACATACTTGCTGCACAACTGCCTGTGAGTCATGCTAGCCCTCTGCAGTATCGTTTCCTGTCTTTGTACCACATGCAGCCTCAAGTTATTTTGCATCACAGACTAAAGTCTGAAATCAGCCAGTCAGCCTAAATCCCACTTATCTGGTCCGAGGCTGGCATAACAACCCTTAATCTTTTTGGAGTCTCTAGGCAATATTGAGTTGAGTTTGTATTGTAAAACCAAACCCATGCAAACTTTAACAGCAAATAAAATGGCTCTATGTCTTGGTGTATTGGCTAAGCATGGAAATTCTATCAACTTAGTGGAAAGGGCATAACCCCCCACCCCAAAAAAAAACCAAAAAAAACAAACAAACAAACAAAATCCAAACAAACCCTAGAAGAAGCTAGTTTGAAAAAGAAGATTTCTCCTAACTGTTAACACTGTTCCTTTTAAAAGGTATGACTATCTCTAGACACATTGCTATCATGCTAACTACAATGTTAGCACCGCCTAAAAATACTTCTTAGCTTAATATAACATTTAATGTTAAAAGTTAAACATTAAAACGCAGCTGCTGGGAGAAGAAACAGCAAAAGACCAAATTACTTTGTGTTGAATGGCTACAGAACTAACTGAAATATTCCTTCACAATTGTTTTTTCTCCCCTCATATTTGTTTTCACCAGTCAGCTGCCTGCAACACTGTTCTCAGCAACAGCATTACAATCAAGACAATTACAATCAACAGAATATTTCATCCAAGTCTTGACAAAAACAGTGATTGACTTTTTTTTGTTTTGCAAATTTCTACAGCTAACCATAATTTCCTTTAAGCAAGTTATACTGCACCGTACAGACAAACGTGCAGTTTGTATAATACCCAAGACTGAGCTTTTCAACTTTCTAGCTACATAGTTGGGCAGCCAAACACAACACCCAAGGAAAGGATGTTCACATAATAGATTGCAAAGTCCATGGGTTATAGTTTAGCTTTTTGTCTGCACATGTAGATGCCTCTAATTGTTAACACAATTCTTTGTATCAACACATATATTTCAATTGAGGTTTATAGTAAATTTGTAGGATAGCAGTGTAAATTCACAGCTGGTTTACTCTATACAAATTCTTACACCAGCAATGCCATTTCCAAGCATGTTAATAATGCAGGTTGGTGACAGGCTAAGCTACTGGCCTGAAGAACAGACAGAAAGGAGGTAAGGGGTCAGCCATCAGCTCTCATCACTTCCCAGTCTTCACCACAAACTCCCCAAGTCAAGAAAAACCAAACTGAACAGTTCAAAGAGAAGAAAAATTTTGTAACTTTTTAAAAATTTCTTTTATTTTTTAAACAGGAAGTGTGAACTTCTTCATTCTAGTTCTCAGAGTAACACGGGTGTCTGAAACAAACGAACACCCTATGTCCACTCACACGCCCTTCACCAGTTAGTGCGGAGTTACTAAAACATCAACATGTTTTCTAGAAGCTGTTTGTCAGACTTGGGAGTGGGGGGAGAGAAATCCAGTTTTTTCCTTGGCTATGTCCAGTCAGATCACTGCTGAATGCAGAGACAAGTGGGAACTCTACAACTGAGGAGCTACCCAGTACCATTCTCAAAAACTCCATCAGGACAAAATGATGCGACACGGCAAGCACATGTTAGACCTCAGCTGCAGTCACCTAAACATCTTGCAGGCTCCAGTCAGATACCATTAATAAGCACCCAATCTATTTTGTATTTTCTTATTTAGATATTCTAAGAGTTTTCCTTCTACGAATCTAGCCTAGATACATTAGGATAAGAACCCTTAAACAATAATTTTACTGTTTAAGCAACGTTTTAGCATCAGGACTTAGAAATGTTTACATGGATCCTTAACTTCACAGAAAACAAAAAGTACAAGCTGCATTCCATAGAAATGCCTGAAAATTTAAATCTGACCTGAATTAGGATCTTATGCCTTTAAATATCCATAGACAAGTCATGGGGCTTTCTTGTACGTCATTAATATTTTTTTTTTTCTAAATAAAGTTCACAGAAACAAAGCTTCTCCCAAACAACTCTTAAATGTGACTTCCTTTGTAAACTACTGCCAAAAAACAAAAGTGCAAAATCCTTCAGGCAGGGTGAAACACAGACAAAAATGACTAACTGCTGAAAAGCCTTGGGGGGAAGAAAAACTTGCAGCCAGTCACAATGTTAGATACACAAAATTTCTATCATGGTAACAGCCAAGATTGGTAAGATTTCTGCAGTGCAACAGTGCTCAATCTATTTCACCTCAGTAGGTTTTACCACCCAAATACTGAGATGAAATAAGGTGCATCTACAGAGCCTAACAGAACATACTAGTCCTCAGGGAAATATTTTATGTAAATTATTTAATGTAATATTTTATGTATACTTCCTAGGAGTGCACAAAGCATGTAGAGGCCTAACAGTGAAGCAGGAATAGGAAAAAGAACACTGGAACTACTGGGGAGAGGAGAAATAGAAGGGCTAAAAGTGGATCCAAAATGAGTGTTTCGAAAAGCCAGGTTTCTTTTACAGAATCAGAGAATGGTCTGGGTTGGAAGGGACTTTAAAGATCATCTAGCTCCAACCCCGCTGCCAGAGACAGGGACACCCTCCACTAGACCAGGCTGCTCAAAGCAAGCTTTTGCTGCTGGTAGACAGTGTCTAGTTGTTGGACCAGAACCCCAGGGTATCTAGCACGCTATGTGTTCTCACCCAAATTCCCCTAACAGCAGCTTGTTTCACTTTGAACCAAATACTCAGATTAAGTACACTGAGGGAGAAGTTATCTTTGCACAAAATCTGACTGTGCTGGATGCTGAGTCTCTCTGAGGCCTGACAGGATACTAATGACTACATATAGCTCATGGTCACTTCCCTGCCCTACCATCCCCCAAAGAGTTTCACTTCAATGTAAGACACCAAGAACAGTGCTACTTAGTATTCTAAGACTACAAGAGATGCCTTCATGAACAGAACACAACTACAATTTATAACAATGCCACCATTTAGCATCACTTTCTTCTCATGTTAACATATTTTAACTTTTTTCCCTCCTTGTTTCCTTTTTTTCTATTAACAGCACTTGCACACACTCCCAGAAGGGCTGCACTGCGGGCAAAGTGCACACCTCGATGATGGGTGAGGAGGGCTCCACTCACC